AGAATCGCGAACCGAATTGAGTCTCGATTAAGAAAGCATCGCGAACCGAATTGAGACTCGATTAAGAAAGAATCGCGAACCGAATTGAGACTCGATTCAGACAGAATCGCGAACCGAATTGAGACTCGATTAAGAAAGAATCGCGAACCGAATTGAGACTCGATTCAGACAGAATCGCGAACCGAATTGAGACTCGATTCAGACAGAATCGCGAACTGATTCAGATCGCTTTACTGAGCTGTTTGACGAATTCATGAAAACGAACCGACTCAAAAGAATGATTCATTTGCAACACGGCAGCAAATACGAGACACAAGACAACATATTGTAAGAGAAAATGATTCTAAGGTCAGTAAATGGTATTCAGTTTCTCCAGAAAAGGATTTATCAATAAATATTTACCTGATAGTTTGACTTGATAAATTGATGCCACCAAGAGAGTCAGTTCAGCAAACAGGCATTCTCAGAAAGTTCTGGTTAGGTCCTCTCAAAGTTATGAACAAACGTTTGTCAAAGTTATTAATAGTGTTCTCAACACGTTACTAGCACAAAAACATTACCATGTATTTAATATTTTTTATTTATTGATTTTTCCTGAAACATTTTGGTTGGAACGTCTAACGGTTTTTAAATGCTACTTGTTTCAGAACCAGAGCATATTTAAAAGTAATGTTCCCATTATGTTCCCTTTGGACGTTTTGAATAGTAAGAGAACCTTCAGAGATACTTCAACAGAAAATATCATGACTCATGCATCTGCTAACAAGTTTTACTTCATGAAAAGCAAGTTTATTTAGGATTAGCCTACAATCTTTTTTTCCTTCAGAACTTGTTGCAACACATAGGTACATTTGGAGGAAGAAAATCTCAATGTGTTTCATGTCAAAAGGTTTTAGAGCCTGACTTTGCAATAACAGACATTGGGATGCAACATTATTCAACACAGAATATCCTCCAGTGACTGTGAAGTCTAAGAGGGCCTCGTGAACGTCCTTAAAACAATGCAAAAAGCCGTTTCCATATTAAGCAGCCACCTGTGAGCCGTTCAGCAGCTTTTATTGATGCGCTCCGGCTGATCAGTGCACCATTATTCCAGCCTCTGGGAAATATGGAAATCAACAGGCACTGCTGACGAATAATAAAATTGAATTTGTGTCTGACGGCGCTGAGCAGAGATGTTAAACTGTTATTTGCCCAGGAACGGGTAATATGATTCTCTGCTCATCCCACGGGCCCCAAACAAAAGAAGTGCCGTGTAATTAGGTAGAAGATATTGACACGCTGTTTTTCTCCGCTAGTTCAACATATTGAAATGTGGAAAGTGCCATAATGAGGTTTAACGCTTGAAAATGTGCAAACCTGATTAGGTGTGCTAGACTTCTGGAGAAATCACTCGGGTGCATCTGTCGGCTTTGGTATCGCTGCATTTATCACAGCATTTCTTATCATCAAACTGCCAAAGTCACTGATTTCAGCAAATGTGGCTTTGTGAGATCATACTGTTTCAGAACGGTTTGAAATTTCAGTGGATGAAAATTTCTCAGCAAACGCATGCGCCAGTGTCTGTATTATGGAAGGCCGTTTCAAAAAAATGAAAACTTAGGCTTTGTAACTAGGGTTGCAAAAAGGTGGAACATTTCCAGTGAATTTCGGAAATATTCCAGAAATTTGGGAAACTTTCCAGGATTTTTTGGAATATTCCAGGTATTTTTGGAAATTTACCAGAAATTGTCCACCCCTTTGCAACCCTAATTGCAACTTATTTCACAATTTAGACTTTTTTTGTTGCAATTCTAGACTAAAATCTGAATTTTGAGGGAAAAAAATATTTGCGAGATATAAACTCATAATTGCAAAGATTCTGAGTTTATATCACAATTCTGTCTTTTTACCTCGCTACTCTCACAATTGATTCTGAGATTCTGAGAAAAAAGAGTCGGAAATATGAAATAAACAGTTGTAAGAATTTTCAAAGAACTGCGCAAAAATAGTCAGAATTGTTTTTGTCTCTCATAGTTGAGGTATACCTATGATGAAAATTACAGGCCTCTCTCATCTTTTTAAGTGGGAGAACTTGCACAATTGGTGGCTGACTAAATACTTTTTTCCCCCACTGTATTAGGGGTTGCACCGACTAATCGAATAGTCGACTTCAGTGCTCTGCCATGACGCTTTAAGCTTGACGTCGACTAGTCGCTGGTCCTATAGAGGACGCAACAGGATAAGAAATCTTTAAAGGACTTCCACATTTACACTCAGTTTCCAAACAGTTAAAATGACAAATAAATGCATACTCTGAAAGTATCCACACACTCCACAAGAAGTGTGAATATATTACTGGATGCTCGAAACAGGAGAATGCACGTTTTAAACAGCTTGCACAGGTAAGTTAATCGCCGTTCTGATCTAATGTGCTGCTACACTGTAACACACACAGCTACAGACAGTAGCTCTTACATCACACACACAGAATCATTCAGCGAGGAAATGTGTTGTCAACACTGTTCTGTGATTTCTCAATAAAATATCTTAGAAACTGAAAAGTTCAAGCATATATTTGTTAACTAAATCCCACAGCTTCACTTCTAGTAGAGAGATGCTGCCAGGTAGAATTGATTCACATGCAATCACTCTCACTAATGCGTTCATATGAATGTAATCTTTACTGTGCTGCTTTATCTGTATCTGATTAGAACGAGCAGAAATCTGTGAGAAATATAATGACCCAAAGACAAAAGAACTGATAAAAAAGCTGTTATAGGAGCAACAGCCGTGTGGGCAGCGCTGTGTCATCTGCCATAGCTGTGCACAAGCTGTTTATCACAGCTCCAGACTTATTTGTTCATTACTCGACTTTCATCACGTAAAAGTCAACTTTAAGAAATCAGAAGTCGTTCAAATATATATATATATATATTTAATCCTGTGGTGGAAACAAGCTTCCATACTATTTTAGGTTTTTAGATCAGTATTATAGGTTTGTAGACATTTTTAATGACACGCTTTTATAATAAAAAGGAAAAGTTGTAGTTAATAGTCTCTTATTGGCCTGATTAACCAAGCTCCCCATAAAACAAACAAAACAAGTAGTAGTAGTATTTTAAGATTTGTTCATTGCATTTAATAGTTTACACTTTTAACAAAACACAGGTGTTTTTATGCATGTTTTTGTTGCGTTTAACAACAGCATGTGGCTTTTCGAGCGAAAGTGAATCATTTGGATAAACTGATTCAAAGCTTCAAAAAACTATTAAAGCAAAGTTGGTGTCGCCTACTGGTTAACGATTTGAGCTGGTGACCAAAAGGTTTTAGTATCAGACACCTCACAAGTTTCCCCCAGTGCCAAATAAAATCACTTTTTCCAGTCGAATATCCTCTGTCACATTACAGAGGTTACATGGTGCGGATACAGTTTCATACAAGCTTCTGCTGAATACTTACAACATACTGAGTCTAGTGTGGTGCAGCTGTGTAAATGATGTGCACTACACAATCTTTTTGAACAACTTCTA